ACACAGACACACACACAGACACACACACACACACACACACACATGCACACACACACACACACCCGTCCCCCGCTACCCATCACTACAGCCTGCTACCCTCTACCACGCACAACCCCCGGGTGCACACGTGTCTCTACGTGGGGATGCGTTGTTATAGATGTACATAGATTCACTGCATGACTCATCGGATCGGATCGGTTCGTACATCGTCGCACCGATACAGGTCGCGCGAGCGCTCGTCGCCATTATGGGGCGCTAGAGGGCGCTTTCGTGAGCTGCAGAGAGAGTGTGCCGACGTGTACCAACGTGTGCACGTTAAAAGCTTCAACAGCAGTAGTAACAGCACCGCCATCACTACCATCACCACCTCCACCACCAGCACCAGCAGCAGCAGCATTGGTAGTAGCAGCAGTAGTAGTAGCAGCAGCTGCATTAGTAGTAGTAGCACCACCATCACCACCACCACCACCAGCAGCAGCAGCATTGGTAGTAGCAGCAGTAGTAGTAGCAGCTGCAGCTGCATTAGTAGTAGCAGCACTACCATCACCACCACCACCACCAGCAGCAGCAGCATTGGTAGTAGCAGCAGTATTGCATCCATTTTACCTATAGCTATGTGACACAATCAACACCGTGAACGCAGCATATGTATAACAATCACCTTCCCATCTCATCTGCGTTTTCACCACCAGTTCCTTGCTCCGTATAGGTGGCAGCACCGGCAGGAGAGTGGCCATCTTGGTCTACCCATCTTTGGCTTCTGTATACCTATCTCTGGCATGGCTTTAGTGTAACGATAGACCCACGCTGATCGAGCTGCTGGCGGGTGTAGCGCTTATACAGAGTATATTATATATATAGTTTTAACTAGAACAGGCGCATGTCACCGATAGATGGCAGGATTAACATTAATAACAAAATTATTTTATTATTAAATAATTAAATGCTTATCCCGAGATTATCACGGTTTTTTTTACTTATTTCTTATTTATTTATTTATTTATTATTTATTTATTTATTTAGATAAAGCAGAGACACAAACAAGCAGAAACCGTTGTTTCCATAAGTGACATTTGCAAGTACTCTCTTAAGGCACTAGCATAGTAATTAGTAATTAGAATAGTAATTAGCACGGAATCCTAAAAGTAGCGGATAAACTGCTATATTAACAGTAATATTTAGTAAAACAAGTGCCACAGTGTAAATAGGTGTGCTAATCATAGTTTTGTTGTATATTATCCTTGGTAGTTATCCAATTTCATGAATTCAAAATATATTGTTAAAGTATGCTATCATGAGAAATTGGATCCGAATCGAAACATATCTTAAAGTTGTTGTATTGATTGAATATCATGGTCAATGCTTAGCCGACTTGTCGATTTTTTTAACATTTTGAACGCGGGATTCCAACAGTGAATAATAATAATAATAATAACGCGCATGTGCATTAGCCTTATATAATTGTGAAGAGACGTTGCGAGTTTAAACAAACGAAATGGAAGCGAGGTGAGTTCTACTGACATCGATGTCCTGCATAGACACAGAGGTTGCTATTAACTCCGTTTGGCGCCACCAGGTGCCGCCCCATTCCGCGCTTGACAGACTGTCTCGTGTCTTGCAGCTTGTCGAAAGAAAAGCCAAAGCTTGACCTTCAGAAGTCAAGGACCTTGAAGATGATACAGGATATGGAAAGCCCCAAGGCCGGGGGACCGCCACGCCCCCTCCCCGTGCAGGTTCCCCCACCGCAGGTAACCACCCACCCTCACCCCATCCACACCTCTCCCCACCCCTACCCTATCCTCTCCCTA